ACAATAGGTCTATAAAAGGACATGAATTAATACCATTAATACCATACCATAAGAAAATAAAAAATATATCATCCTCTTCTGACTATGTTTAAATGACTGTCTCAGTTAAACGATCACATAAAATGAAAAAAGTAAGAAATACATGACTTTTATTTATCCATTAAATATACGATTGAAAAAAAAACATGTAATGTTCATGTCACCCCCTAAATGCCATCATTGAGCTTCAGCTCTTATGACAGAGATCACTGCACACTGCAAACTGAGAAGCAAGACAAATCCAACAAATGCAGCATGCAACAGTCAACAGTGGACGGGGGGTTTGGGGGCACAGATCAAGAACCATTCCTGGGCCAACTTACTGAAGGTCTTTGTCCCATACCCATCATCACCTATCCCCAGGATGTCCTATTGGCCGTCCAAAGAGAGCCAGAGCAGAAGAGAGAGAGGAAGGAGGACAGCCGCAACGTAAGCAGAAGGTTGGAGGCAGTGAAAGGAGGGAGCTGTGGGCCCACAGATCTGACGCTGAGCAGCCAGCAGGGGGAGCCAAATATTACATGATAACACGCAGGCTGCTTAAACCTAAATGATTTCTGAAGCGAAACTGGGTCGCACAATATCACCATATGGGGACGTAGCACATGAAAATGAACAGCGGCAACTTGGCCTCTCTCCTGCTGACTGATCGGCATCTGAGCCAGAATATCTGACTGTGACCCCACAGAAAGAGAAAGAAAACAAAGACGACAGGAAATGATCATGAGAGGAAACAGGAAAGGCCTCCACGAAGCCTCCGAACCGGAAATACACCTGTGAATGCCCCCCGTCAGCCCTACGTGTGGACCTACACTCACTCTTTGCATGTATGTGTGTCTGTGAGCTTACTTACGGTCTGAATCACTGCCATCCTGCTCACCCTCTTTATTCTTGTAGAACGGGAACTTTCGTGTAAAGATGAAATTCTTTTTACGTTTGTCATTGAATGACTGTGAAGGGAGAGAAAGCATGGGGCAAACAGGTATATCTGTCACAGTCATGCAGACAAACAACTGCTTGCACAAAGTGGGACGTCAAGAAGTTCTTACAGTAAAAAGTGAAGATCTGTTCCTCCCAGATTCAGTCAGTGATTTTGACAATTTAACTGATTCATTATCAAGTATTTCATCAAGCTTTTCTACGTTTCATATAATTATATTATGATATATATTATATGATTGTAATTGTAATAACTTTGGGTTTTGGACTCTTGGTCTGACAAAAGGAGACAATGCAACATGTTACAGACTAAACAATTAAAGCTATAATATGTAACATTTCCACATTAAAATGTCTATAAACACCGATCCGCCATAACATTGTGAGCACCTGGG